ATGCTGCAGTGCACCAGGGGCGCCCTTCTGGCCGCCTGCCTGCCTGCCGCGCTCCTCGCCGGGCGGATCCGCGTGGACGACAGCCTGCGCCCCGCCGCGGCACGGGGCGGCGGGGCCGCCTGCTGCTGCACTCGCGGGCCCTGCGGCGAGAAGGAGCGCACGACAGGCCTCGTCGTCGTCGTCGTCGGCTCCGAAGTGTTCGTCCCCAGGCACGATCGCGTCGTAGAAAAGTCAGCCCGGGAGGCTTCTGGCCCATTTCGGCCTCCGGGGGCCCTCGCCGGGCCTCAGGGACCGTCAGAAAACGATGTCAGGATGAAACACCGGTCCCGGGGAATGGATCGGGGTTTCCAGGGACCCCTTACAGTCGGGGCCCTGAAGAAGGAACCCTTTTCGTTGGGGAGGGGCTCCGTGTTCCTTCATTGTTCCACCACTTGCCCAATGTTTTCCTGAAGTGTTTGGTTGCAAGTCGAAGGTTAACTTATGAAAAAACGGGACTTCGTTCCTTATTTAGAGTTCCTTAGGTCAACGCCCCGACTGTAGTGGAAAAATCAGGACGTTGCATGTCGGGGTCAGTTCTTGAAGGCCCTCGTGCCTCCAGATGCGTTCCAGCAGCTGCGCCTCGCCGAGAGTTTGGGGGATGCCCGGATCGTCCCGAACGGCCGTCAGAGACTTGGGTTCGCTGGTCTGAAAGTCGAGGTCAGAGTCCAGCTCGGTTCGACCGATCCCATTCGATATCGATTCTAGCCGGCCCGATCCGATTCGACGCCGACATTCCGACAAGCCTCAGAGGAGGGCCAGTTGAGACAACGGCAGCTAGCCTTGGGTTGCGTCGCCCTCGTCGCCAGGGCTGGACGCAGCTCGAAAAGATTGTGCGTTTGACCCCAGAAGGGTGTGGTGATCCATTTGAATTGCCGTTGTCTCAACTCGCCCTGCTCCGAATAGAATATGGATTCCGGCTGGCCCCATCCGATATTCCGACGACCCGATGTGGCCCGGTTCTTGCGTTGCGTTGTTGCGTATTTTGTCGCGGCCGATCCGGTTCGATTTCGACTCCGTGCCGACGGAGCCCGATCCGACGCACATGTCGATTCCATGTGGTCCCCCGAGTCGATGCTGTCTGATCCTGCAGGCAAGGGAGTGTACCACCCCGACCAGAACAAGTGCTGCAAGCTGAAAGGTTTGGCGGATCGCACCAGGGGGTGGTGCGGGGAGGAGGGGGCCTTCTGAGACTTGGCATCGCTCGGACGTGTGCATTTTTCCTTCGGCGAGGACCATCGAGGAGCATCCTTGATCAGTTTGCGAAAAAACCACGCACGAAACCGAAAAAAAACACAGGGAATGGATGTCCGAGCGATGGCCAGGAGAGGACGGGGGACGTCGAGGGCCCTATCGGAGGCCCGCTCCGGATTCGGAGAGGCCTTCGCGGAAGGCCCCTGTGCCTTCCCGAGGCGGACCCGCGCCTTCTGAGAAGGCCGCCCCCGTTGCGCCACCGTGTTTCAGTCCGTTGCCCCAGAGGTCCCGACCGCCTCCTCGGGGGCAGCCTTTGCAGGCCAGCCACAACTGGGGGAGCTGTGTTCCTTACCCCCATGGGGGGCCCATCCATTTCGACACCCCTCTCGAGAGATCGTCGATGCGATGGGTTCCCCCAGGGGGGTAAGGACCACAGCTCCCCCAGTTGTGGCTGGTCGGCGAGGGCCCTTTCGGAGGCCCGCTCCGGATTCTGAGAGGCCTTCGCGGAAGGCCCCCGTGCCTTCCCGAGACGGACCCCGCGCCTCCTGAGGAGGCCGCCCCCGTTGCGCCACCTCGTTTCAATCCGTTGCCCCAGAGGTCCCGACCGCTTCCAGTCCGGAGGAGGAGGAGGAGGAGGAGGAGGAGGAGGTCTGGGAGGAGGTTTGGGAGGAGGAGGAGGAGGAGGAGGAGGAGGAGGGGGCGGCTTTTGTCCGGAGATCCAGTTCTGATGGCCCCCAGGGCTTGCCAGGGGGCCCCAGGGGTCGACATCGAGGGCAAACCGCGGGGCCGGAAGCTTCCCACCGTCGGAGATGCGGGCCCCTCGTGCGAGCCGCCACAAGACGGCGGCTGCCCTGGCACCTTCAGCACGTCCCGTTTCAAGGAGGAGAGCGGGGCGGAGATGTGCAGCGCGGAGCAGGGGGCGCTTCGGCAGCAAATCATGGGGGCCCTGTGTACCCTCGCAGTTCTGTCTTTCGCGCCGAGTAGCGTCGACTTGGCGGCGATTAGCGTCGACTTAGCGTCGGCCAGAGCCGATTCGCATGCGACGTCTCGATTTTTTCGAGGCGTGGGCCTCCGACCTCCCGACCACTTCCCGTGGAATGGTTTTTCGTCCCGAGTCGTTGTTCACGGTCCCGAGGCCCGGCGAGGGCTCCGAGAGGCCCCTCCTCCTCCCTCCTCCCTCCTCCCTCCTCCTCCTCCTCCTCCCTCCTCCTCCTCCTCCTCCTCCCTCCTCCTCCTCCTCCATCCGTCTCGATGTGTTCGAGACGCCCGATGTTTGGGCCCCACGAGCTGCCACCGAAGGGGGCGCGGGAGCTCCCCGGCTGGCAGCTACCCGGGGCGCCGCCCGCCGTCGACCTGAGCGCCCTCGAGGAGGGCAGCCACGCGCACACGCTCCACACCCACTGCCAGCAGAGGGAGGACCGGCGACCTTGCCAGAAGTCAAGGGCGTAAAAAACGCCCCTCCTTCTCTTCCTCCTCCTCCTCTTTCTCCTCCCCCTCTTCCTCCTCCTCCTCCGTCCCATCTTCTTCCTCCTCCTCCTCCTCCTCCTCCTCCTCCTCTCCTCCCCTCCTTCCTCCTCCTCTCCTCCTCCTCTCCTCCTCCTCCTCCTCCTCCTCCTCCTCCTCCTCCTCCTCCTCCTCCTCCTCCTCCCAGAAATCACTGGCGTAAAGAGCGCTCCTGCCCTTACGTCGGGCATGTCCCTCCACAGGGGGAAGATTCAAAAGTAATCAAGAAATAGTATGGGGACGATGTTTCGATCATGTTTTTTTTTTTTGCCATTTTTGCATTTTGTCGCATTTCCCAACCATCCTGTGGTGTTGGGTCCTCGTTTTGAAGAGACAGTCCCCGCGTTCCTTCCCTGCCTCCTTCCCTCCCTCCTTCCCTCCCTCCTTCCTTCCTCCTCCCCCTCCTCCCTCCTCCCATCCCTGCCTCTGCCCTGCGCATGTCCTCAGCGTTTCGTGGTCCCATAGGGAGCTCCACCTGAGGTCCTGGTGGCGGTGTCCACATGCGTCTCCCCCACCCAGCACAGCGCTTCGTGGCTCCATAGGGACCTCCACCTAAGGTCCCAGTGGCGGTGTCCACATGCGTCCCCCCCCACCCCAGCACAGCGCTTCGTGGCCCCATAGGGAGCACCTAAAGCCCCAGCGGCGGTGTCCACATGCGTCCCCCCCACCCAGCAAGACAGGGAGCTCCACCTGAGGTCCCAGTGGCGGTGTCCACATGCGTCTCCCCCACCCTGTAAGGCGCTTCGTGGCCATGTGTGGCGCTCCATCTAAGGCCCCAGTGGCGATGTCCACATGCGTCTCCCCCATCTAGCACAGCGTTGCGTGGCCTCATACGGAGCCCCACCTAAGGTCGCAGTGGCGGTGTCCACATGGGTCTCCCCCACCCAGTACAGCGCTTCGTGGCCCATAGGGAGCTCCACCGAAGGCGATACCCACAACTGCGACATTCACAACTGCACATGGATGCGTCTTTCGCCAGGCGAATTTTTTAATGTGACGTGTGACATCCGCTTGTAGGGGGACATGCCTGACCTAACCCTACCTGGTGTACGAGGCGCTGTATGCTGAACCTCCTGTGGGCTGACAGGGTAAACCCTGCGTATCGCGCGTGTCGCGCGGCGTCCTTGCGGCTCTCTGGCCCCCCGGGGGCCCCCAGGAGGTTTACAGACCACGCATTTGTAACCCAGAGTAGGGGCGAGTTGCATACCCCAAAGAAGCGGCCCAGACATGGCCTCCCCCGATCTCCCACGCATCGCATGAGGAAGACAAGGACGGAGGTTGTTGTTCGTCGTTCGGCGAGCCTGGCAGACACGGCCCAGACGTGAACTCCCCAGACCTCCAACGCATCGTACAGTCGGGGCCCTGAAGAAGGAACCCTTTTCGTTGGGGAGGGGCTCCGCGTTCCTTACGTGTTTCACAGCTTGCCTTAGGTTTTCGATATGAAATCGAAGTTTAACTTATGGAAAAAAGGGGCCTCGTTCCTTATTTAGGGTTCCTTAGGTCAACGCCCCGACTGTATGGGAAACACAGCGAGCTCGGCAGAAGCGGCCCAGGCGGTGAACTCCCCGGCGCGGCACGCTGCACTGGAGACTCGGGCGCTGACGCGTGACCCTGCGCGGGGGCAGCTCGCGCGCCAGCGTCGGCGCAGACGACCCCGTCTTCTGGCGTCGCTCACCCGATGATGAAGACTGCCATCTTCCCAACTGATGGGGCGATGACTCCACCATGCAAGCATAATTTGAAAGGGGTTCAGGGGCAGCGGCATGGTGTGCGCGGTATGGTGCAACAAAGAGGTTGCATTTGAGACGCGTCTTTTCCCTCATCTGTGGTGTAAACGAAGACAAAACGAATCTCGTGCGCTGGGAGAACAACAGAAAACATGAAAGCATAATTTGAGAAGGCGATCGGCCTCCAACGCATCGCATGGAACATGTAAGAGGGACTGTTTGTCCGTCGTTCAGCGAGCTTGTCAGAGACGGTGCAGACATGGCCTCCCCAGACCTCCAACGCATCGCATGGAGAAGACAAGACGGATGTTGTTATTCGTCATTCAGCGAGCTTGACAGAAACGAACCAGACATGAACTCCCCAGACCTCCGATGCATCGCATGGAAAAGACAAGACGGAGGTTTGCTGTTAATCATGAAGCGAGCTTGACAGAAACGGCCCATACATGAACTCCGCAGACCTCGAACGCATCGTAAGGACAAGCCAGGACGGAGGTCGTTTCGTCGTGAAGCGAGCTTGGCAGAAACGGCCCAGACATGAACTCCCCAGACCTCCAACGCATCGTATGGAGTAGACAAGACCGAGGTTCTTCTTTCGTCGTCTTCGGCCCATGGGGGCCTTGCCAGGCCTCTGGATGCAAGGGCGCCCTCGAGGGCGCGAAGTTATTCGTGCTTCGCGGTTCGGCTCCGATCCCTCATCCTCCTCTTCTCCCCTGGGAGGCGGCGCGAGAGCGCGAAGTTATTCGCATTTCGCGCTCCGCGCGGCGCGAAGCGCGAGGTTGGGAGCCCTTGTGGATGGTGGAAGAACGATCCGAGGCGAAATCCTGATCCTGGGAAGGGGTCCAGAGCTCTTGGGACCCCGTCCAGAGGTCTGGGTCTCGGAGGGCCTCGCCGATCTCCACTGTCCGCTCCGGGGCCCCCTGGCGGCGCCTCCGGCGCAGCCACTGGCGCGCCTCACGCGCCAGAGGAGAGCGGCTCGGCACCGACCCAACAGGTCCGCGCGGAATTCCGCGGACTCAATGTTCCAGGGCTGGACCTAAACCCAGACCCCCTCGCGTCGTGAAAAATCACGACGGAAGGTTTTTCACTATTTTCGCCCTCTGGAGGTCCTCACCGGGCCGCGGGAGCGTCAAAAAACAGCTCGGGATGAACACCAGTCCTGGGGAATGGGTCGAGATCTCTGGGGGTCGACGTCATGAAAAAAACATGACGTCGGGGGTCTGGGTCCGCGCGGAATTCCGAGGACTCATGTTCCAGGGCTGGACCTAAACGCTGTGTTGTTGGGCGTCGGCTGCGTGCTGTTGGTCATTCTGGCAGGGAGGAGCAGGAAAGCAGGCAGGGCAAGGCGAGCAACAAAACGAAAGACAACGTTTAGGTCCAGCCCTGGATCTACACCGCCGTGACAAAAGATTATGCGGTTTTATGATATGTTGGAATCTCATATCCCTCTGAATATTCCTAACATTGACATGCGTCCTGCGCGATCCCGCGGAGTAATTCGTCTACCTCTAATGAATAACATTGTTATCTCAAAACAGGATCGGAAATTACTCCGCCCATTCCTATATGAAAAATGGGACGCGATGCATGTCCACTCGGAGTAATTTCTAATCCGCCCACTCCGTTTACTCCGCCAGTCTTGAGTCATGTTGAGTGAAGACCGCATAGTACTTTTGTCACGGCAATGTATGTTCAGATGTTCTGGCTCTTCAGAGGAGGACGCCGAGGCGGAGACCGCGGCCGTGAGCCACGCCGTCGGGGCCATGGCTCAGGAGCTGGCGGCTAACAACATCCACTCGAGAAGGAGGAGGAGGAGGAGAAGGAGGAGGAGGAGGAGGAGGAGGAGGAGCCGTCGGAGCCATGGTTCAGGAGCTGGCGGCAAACAACATCCACTCGATGACGCAGGGCCTCTTCACGATGTACGCCTGCATCCGCTGGGCGCCGGACGTGTCGTTCTGGCCTCTGGCGCGCGACGAGCTGGCCAGCGACCAGCTGCCCGCCAGCTCCGGGAGTGCCGATGGCGACCCAGTGTTGCTCATGGCACGCGCGGTGGAGCGCGGGCACTTCATCCCGCTCCGCTGCTCAGAGAACGTCGGCGTGTACGACAAGAAGGACTCCGAGGGGAGCGTCTACCCCACCTTCGAGGCCAGGCTTGGAGGGATGGCGGACTTCTTCGCCGAGGAGGTGGGGAAGGCCTTTGACTCCCGTGCCAAGGTCGTCGAGGCCAACCAGCCGTTTGACGGCTTCTGGACGAGCAAGGAGACAAAGCGGCAGCGCTGGTATGATCTGCTCAACGAGACCAAGCTGTTCAACGGCGCGGCCGTTGCCAGGCGGACCGAGGAGTGCCGGAGCGTCTCCGACAGGCTCCTGGAGCTTGATGTCCATGGGGCGTCCGCCGAGCAGCTCTGGGGCAACTGCGGCTTCGTGAAGTGGTGGGCCCCGAAGCTTCAGACATACCTGCAGCGTTTCCCGTTCCAGGCTTTCCTGGCGGGGAAGACTGGCGGACAGGTTCGAAGGACAATCTTTTGCACAAACACAAAGGCGTTCGAAGCTCCGCGTGGATTTCTTGGATCGGCGCTGAAACCCCTGGTGGCGCCTCCAGCGCCGCCTGTGGCGCGCCCCGCGCGCGGGGAGGGGGGGCCCAGCGCCGATCCACGAAATCTGCGCGGATCTCGGACAGGTTACATTTATGTAGTCGTTTCTTCTTCTGCAGGTGCCGCCAGGGCAGAGGGTCCTCTTCTGCTTCGGCAAGCGAGTCTCTGGGGAGCTGCACCGGCGCACCGACGGCTCCCACATCCTCACGGACATGAACGGCGTGGGGTGCCACGGCTTCTGGGACTACCAGAAGGTTCGCAGGGTGATACAGTCAACCCGCATAGTAAGAATGGGCAACCTTCCGAAACATACCCTTGCATCCTTGCCTCTTCGGTCCATCCTTCGCCAACTTTCGTTGGCCGCGCCCCGCCCGAAAAGCTTCGAAATTGGCATCCAGGGCCCTTGCATCCTTACCGCGCATCCTTACCACACGGGTTGATTGTAGTAGAACCTCCATCTCTAAGCTGGAGTAGTGGGTCTGGCTCAGATGCGTCGGCGGCGAGAGGTCCAATCGTTGATTGTGCACCATTGCGGGCCATAACACACATAGTACGCAACTGATGCGGGGGGCGCGAACGATTGCACGGGCGGCACCTATGGCGTAAGAGAAAAGAGACATCATTGCATCCTGGCGCAACTGACGCGCCCAGTGCGCAAAATACTTCATCCCAGCCCTCACTACAGCAAGTACTGTTGCACCTCTCCCCGCAGACCCATCCGTGCCAGACCCGCTACTCCAGCCTAAACCGTCCTGCCGAGCCGAACAGCGAATTGTCCATTCTCGGTCCTTGAAGGGACGCTGCGGCCGCTCTTCCTGCGGGCTTGGGCCCGCAAGGGGTCTAGCCATTGAAAACAAAAGAACCCCTAACCCGAGTAACACGATGAAGACGTGGCCTCACTTAGGTCCCCGCCTTCGCATTAGGGATAATACATCCGGGCGGTTTGGTTTAATACGTCTGCAGAAAAGAGCTGTATCCCTAATGATGTAGGCCCTCCTAACTTAGGTCCCCTCCCAGAGGGTTAGGGGTACTTATGTTGCTTATTATCTGGTCCCGGATCGATTTCACTGAGGGGCGTTTTGCCAAAGGGGAATCCGGTTATCCCCGAGGCGGGGGCCATGCTCGAGCGCATCGTCAAGCTGTGGGCCCCGCCGACGTGTCAGCTCACCGAGCTCGAGCTGAAGATGAAGACCCGCACGCTCGAGATGTTCGACGAAATGAACAAGCGGATGTTCGAGGCCATGCCCGCGATCATCGCCAGCGAACAGTTCAGCGTCGCCAACCCCAGCGCAGAGGAAGCCGCGGGCGCGTCCGGACTGTTGGCGGGGGGCAAGTGGGTATTCAACAAGATGTCGGCGTTGTTCAACACGTACCAGTCCTTGGCCAGGATCATGAGCGGTTCAGTGATGAAGTGGTCCGTGTGTCCAGTGGGCAACGCGACTGGATTGGACCGGAAGCTGGGCAGTGATGACCTCGTCGTGCAGAAGTACACCCAGGAGGCCTACGCCCAGTGGGGCGGCAAGAACCGCACGCTCCCAGGAGAGGATTGTGCGGCGACGACGGCCCTGGGAGGACGTCAGGGGCAGCGAAAGGAGGGTGATGGACAGAGGTGGGGGGAGCGCTGATCCAGCATCGTCGAAACATCGTCAGCATGCTCACGACATATAGTGTCCAGGTCTGCGACGTCTTGATTTTTCAACATGGGGTCCCAAGAGCTCTGGACCACTTCCCTTGGACCTGCGTTTGGTTCTGAGCCGTTTTCGGATGGCCCCTTTACCCGGCGAGGCCCCCCCAGGCGCCGCAAACGACGAAAACGTTCCGTCTTGATTGTGAAGGCCTTACGGCCGGTGCCGCCGACCTTGGACGACGACCCCCACGATGGACGAGGCATTCGTCAAGGTCGAAATCAGACACTCCCAAGAGTGCCCAAGAGGCTACACGAGGCCCCCAAGAGGTGCCCAAGAACCACGCAAAGTTTTTGGGGGTGTCTGGGGAGCCTGTTGGGAGCCTCCTGGGGCTTCCTGGCGGTTCCTTGGGAGCGCCTGGGTGCCTCGTGGAGGCCTCTGGGAGGCCTCTTGGGCCCCGGGACCCCCCGGGGGCCGGGGGGGGTATTATTTTGACCCGGGACCGAACCCTCCAGCCCTACCCCTCCCATCCCGCCCGGCGGGGAAGGAATCCCATGGGAAGGGGCGCGGCTTCCTTTCGACTCAACCACGACGTTGCTCAATTTCGCTTAGGCTATTCCGCTTTGGCTGGTGCGCTTAAGGATGAGGGCCCGGATGCTTCTTGAAGTCTCTTTGTATGTCTCGGGGGCCCCTGGGTGTGAGTTTTTGGAGCCTCCTGGGGCTTCCTGGCAGATGCGCCTGGGATCCTCGTGGTGGCATTTTGGGGGCCTCTTGGGCCCCGGGACCTCCTGGGGGGGATGGCATTCCCCAAAGGGGACCCCCCATGGGGCCCACAAGGGGCACGGAAGGTGCACGTTGCTTCGCCCCCCGATCTTATCGCCCCTCCATTTACGCAACGCCCAGCAGCGGCCGAGCCCGAACCGAGATCCAAAACGGAGGCGGTGCCGATTCATTCGGAGTTTGATAGACTTCCTACCCTGACGCGTCGATTAGTGAGTTGGCCGTTGTCGGTTCGCCAGAGGGCGTCGCGGCCGTCTTTTTTGCGGGTCCAGGTCTGTCGGTTTCGGTCCTAGGCCGTTTTCATTACATGGAGGTTTGCTATAGGGAGGTTTGTCCACCGCCGATGCATTGCCGATGAGGGCGCGCGACCCGGTCCGTCCCCGATTCGGTCTCCCATTGCGACTCAGCTTCGGCCTACCTCCCATCACCTCTCCCTCCGCTCGGAGTCGCCAGCCCTGGCCGTGCCGAATCGGCAACCCTCATGCGGGTACAGCAAAAAACCACAACCGCTACAAGTGGATTCTTCTGGAGGGCCCCTCGGGGAAGAAGCCGCCGACCTCGACCTGAACTCTTTGGTCGTGGTTTCGGCTGTCTGACGATTGTTCACACGCGCAAGGCATGCCTCGGGGAGTGTCTTCGATGTGGTTGTGGTCGCTTGCTGCCCCCGCATCTCAGGCGCCCCCTTGCTGGCCCATCCGGCCGGGTGCAGTGTGAATCGTCACGCTTCCGAGGAGGAGGAGGAGGAGGAGGAGGAGGAGGAGGAGGAGGAGGAGGAGGAGGAGGAGGGGGGGGGAGGAGGAGGGGGGAGGAGGAGGGGAGCTCGCTAGTAGGCTCATCTGGGCGCGACGAGGCCGCAGAAGCTGGCTGCTCGATCGCCCCCTCCAAGACAGTGCGTGCCCTCGCCAACCTTCACCAGTCAATTAGGGGAGGAGGAAACAGGGGGAAAGAGAGAGCGAGAGAGAGGGGAAGGTGGACAGGCAGGCTTCGGACCCATGGGGCAGGGCTGGACCGAAACGCTGTTTTGCTGGACTTCGGCTGTGGTTTGTTTTTAATGTTGGCAGGGAGGTACAGGAAAACAAGTAATCCAAAACGAACAACAAAATGAAAACAAAACCAAACATAACGTTTCGGTCCAGCCCTGCCCTGGGGCGTAAGGGAGGCAATTTTGGGGTATGTTGGGGGTCTCGCCAGACTGTCGGAGAACGTGCTCGGGGCCCCGAGGGTATTGTAATGGCATCCGGCCAGTGCCGCCGATTCGGGGGGCCCCGGATTCGGTAATCTTCGCGGCTCTGTGGCCTCCTCTCTCCTCGATTCTTCTGGTTCTCTTTCTTCTCCTCTGGGGGGGTGCCTGGAGCGGTCCCGGGGGGGGACAGGGAAGGGTTCCGAGGGGAGGGTCCTGGGGGCAGTAGCGGCTAGATCTGAGGGGGTCCCTGGGACCCCCCGAAACATTTTGGGGATGCGCAAATCATTAAGAAAACGCCAGATGGGGAACCAGCCCCCCCCTTTCCCCCATTCCCCGACAGAGCCATTCCGGCGACCTCCCCCAAGCAGAGCTGAAGCTCTTGCTTAGGCTTAGATCTGAAGCTCTTTCTGAGGCCCCGTGTGTTCACACGCCTGATCGGCGGATTTGTGAGGGGATTGTTAGGTTCGTTTCGGTCGTCTTGGAAAGGTTCGGCGCCATCGGAAAGCCCGCTTGGTGGCGTATTCCACCGTTTCGTCAACAAGCAAGCCAATATCAAACAAACAGCAGGCTGGATGTTGGATCGAAACCACGGGCTCGCCTTCTGGCTGTGCGGCAATACTGGTTCACCTTTCTAGGCCGATCGAAAATAATGACTCACACTTTGAGTTTGCCGAGAGTGGTGTTTCACGAGTTGATTCGGACGAGCTGCTCATGCCTTTGGCGTTTTACACGAGGGTTGTTGAGTTCTGCTGCGGGAGCTCACACTTCACGCCTGAAAAAGCATAATACATGCATGAATCACCAGATCTCGCTGGACAGACCTGTGTCTCTGCTTCCCTGGGCGTTTGGAGCGCGAGTCGGGGGACGTCTGCAGCCGACGGACGAACAACAACCTAACATCATTCTTTCTATTCTCCAGGTCACGCCACGGCAATACGGGTCATGTGTCGGCGTAGTGGTGGCCAACCCTCTGCGAAGCGTCCCGACATGACAGAACCACCGACGAACCATCATAAAACGTCAAGTACATCACACCGTAGCGCACAAATGGCGCAGACGAGCAGCACGGGGAGCACCTTAACGATTGTCACGAGTGCCGTACGTGAAGAAGTCGCCAAAAGATCGACCAGCAAAGCTTCCAGTTTAGTCGTACTAGTGACGACAAGGATGCCGAGAATGCCAATGAACATGGCAACGGGAAATTGAAAAGCGTTTGGGGATTGAAGAGCCAGAGACGGTACACTTCAGTCGGGCATGTCTCTCCACAGGGTGAACCTACAAGTCTAGTAAGAAATAGTCAGGGGACGAATGTCGGGCTATGTTCGACTACTTTTGTCATTTTGTTCTGGCATGTCCTATTCTTCGTCCCAAACCCGCCTGTAGGAGGACACGCCGACTTCACGGTACACAGACCATCACCACCCACCAAACCACCCCAACCCAACCAGAAGGCCTCAAATTGACCTCCATTTCCAGTGGGGGGGGGGTCGGGGAACATCGAGAAAACACATATGGAACCCGTACCCCCCCAACCCGAAATTCGGGTCTTCGGGTTGGGTTGGGGTGGCCTGGTAGGTAGTCAGACCAGGTCGATGACCTCGTCGATGTCCAGAGGCCCCTGCATGACAGCAGGGCGTAGGGGCCTCGAGGCGGGGCCCACGACGGACGCCACGGTGGCGCGTGAGGCGGCAGATGGTGGAGGATACGGATCGGGCGAAGAGAACTATGCACACGCACCGATCCTGACAACGCCCATCCTTGACCCAGGATCGGTGCATATACATTCCTGGCCAAGGTAGGAGGGCGTATGCACCGATCCTGGGCTCAGGATGGGCCTGGCCAGAGTCGGTGTATGTGCATAGTTCTTTTTTCCCCTAACGGAGGACAGGGAGTTGGAGGGCGAGGAGGGGGGAACGGGAGGAGCAGGGGAACGAAGAGTGACGTACACACAAAAGCTCGGAGGTCCGCGCGGATTTCTCGGATCCGCGTTGGACCCCCTGCGCCGCCCCCAGCGCGCTCCGCGCGCCAGGGAGGGGGGCCCAGCGCCGATCCGAGAAATCCGCGCGGACCATTCTCTTGGCATCGCTCGGACGTGTGCGGCTATCCTTCGGCGAGGACCATTGAGGAGCATCCTTGATCATGTGACAAAAAAGCCACGCACGAAACCGAAAAAAACACAGGGAATGGACGTCCGAGCGATGGCCAGTTCCCCTAAGGATAGGGAGGATCTGGGAAAATGCGTGGGTTTCTGCTTCAGCGGCGGCTTCCGTGCATACCGACGAGTGCGGCAGCGTGCCCCGACGGCAGAGATGCATCGACGATGTCCCGGCGATCCCGAATCAATGCGCCCCCCGCCCTTGTGCCAGTCCCCCCCCCGCCGTGCCCCCTCAAGTCGGCACCGCCCAAACATATTAATACAAATATGTTGTACAGTCGGGGCACTGAGGAAGGAACCCTTTTCGTTGAGGAGGGGCTCGGTGTTCCTTAGTTGTTTTGCAATTCGCCGTTGGTTTTGCTTATGGTTTCGATCGGAAATTGAAGTTAAACTTATGGGAAAAAGAGGCCTCGTTCCTTATTTAGGGTTCCTTAGGTCAACGCCCCTTCTGTATGCTCGCAGGCCACGCAAGAGCAACGCGCATGCTCGGAAAGCTTCTAGTGTACGCGCCGTGGCGGGCGCTTTCTGGCCACACCGCACGGGCAACGATGTACCGCAAGATGTTGTGCTACATGTTCGGGGCGGGACTACGTCTCCAACAGAGGCACATTGTACCAGTATGTCCTTACGGTAGGTTCGTGTCGTGCCGATTGGCGGCGACCCCGCCAGCGGCGTTCAATTTTGATTTCTGCAGGCGACCCAGAACCGTTCGATGTCGAACGATTTGGACGTTTCGGAAACGGCCGATCGTTCAAGGTTGAACGATGCCCGCGCTGTCAGAAACCAACGCCGAAGTCGGCACGACACGAGCCTGACGTACGCGTCCCATCAGGACCTGGCGACCAGCGCTGCGCCATCGGCACTGTGCGCTCGGACTACCCCGAGAGATACAAGGGCGTGAGCTTCGCCTGCCCCGCGCTGCCCCCCCTGCCGGCCGCCGCGCAGCTGACGGTGCTGAAAGATCGGCGGTTCTCAAAGATGCGGCCCTGAGGGATGGGGCGAAACCTCAAGCCATGAAGGTTCAATGTCACGTGCGGACGGTGGCACTGAGGGTTTCGGTGGAGCTCCCTGCGGGGCCACGAAACGTTGCACTAGGTGGGTGAAGGGTGAAAATTGAGTGTTTCTGGACGCACGCGGACGGTGGCACTGGGGGCTTCGGTGGAGCTCCCTATGGGGCACGAAACGTTGTACAGGGTGGGTGAAAATGCGAAACTGGGTGTTCCGGGACGCATGCGGACGGTGGCATTGGGGGCGTCGGTGGAGCTACCTATGGGGCCACGAAACGCTGTACTGGGTGCGTGAAAATGCCAAATTGGGTGTGTGGGACGCATGCGGGCGGTGCCACTGGGGGCTGCGGTGGAGCTCCCTATGTGGCCCCGAAGCGCTGTACTGGGTGTGCTAAAATGCCAAATTGTATATCCCTGGACGCATGCGGATAGTGGCACTGGTGGCTTCGGTGGAGCTCCCTTTGGGGCCACGAAACATTGTACTGGGTGGGTGGAACGCAGGGAGAGGGAGGAGGGGGGAGGGGGAGGAGGGAGGAGGGAGGGAGGAACGCGGGGACCGTCTCTTTAAAACGAGGACCCAACACCATAGGACGGCTGGGAAAAATCCACGCGACATTCTCTTCGTGTTTCGCTCGCCGTTTCTGGGTTTTGTGCTGACAGAAATCCGCGCAGAAAAATTCGCTGCAGCACGTCTGCGCAAGGTCGGTGCACTGATCAATGCGTGATCAGCTTCCTACCAGAAGTTTGGAGCCTGCTGGGGTCTTCGGGGGCGGAAAAGAGGGGGGTGATGACTAGGGGGGGGGTGGATATCATGGCGGGGGCCATATATTTCCCCAGATTTCATGGCGCCTCTTCTTATTTCATTACGTCCCTGGCCCCCCGCTGGGCCGCGCACATGCCGCCGGTCATGATTTGCCCCCCCCCTCTTGGACAGCCCCCTCTTGGCCGCTCCCGAGGTCCGAGGTGGCCCAGCACTGGGCGCTGGCCAGCAGGGAGGGCGGGCAGGCTCGAGGTCGAGGCTCTGGGTTCGGGGAGGTGCTCTGCCGTTCTCTGTCTCCGGGGGCCGTCTTCGGGCCCCGGCACCGTCAAGACAGGACTGGGCCTAAGCGGTGTTTTGGCGATGTCGTGGGCCGCTTTCGTTTCGACTTCGTTTTGCGGTAGAGGCGGATGGAAGACAAAACGAGGGAAGACGCAAGCAAAACGAAGACGAACAACACCGTTTAGGTTCAGCCCTGCGTCAAAAACGGGGTGAAAAATTGCACCAGGTGAAACCCCTGGAGGGTAATGTTGATTGGATCTGGTGTCCTACTCCCCCCCTCTGGGTCGATCTTCTCGGGGCCCGATTCTTGACGGATCGGTGGTTCAAGGATGGGGCCCTGGGGGACGGGGTACCCAGTCAGGGCGCTGAAGAAGGAGCCCTTCTCGTTGGGGAGGGGCTCGGTGCTCCTTGATTGTTTTACAGCTTGGCTCGGGTTTTCCTGGACTTTCGATGGGAATCGAAGCTTAACTTTTGGGATCAAGGGGCCTCTTTCCTTATTTAAGGTTCCTTAGGTCAACGCCCCGACTGTACCCAGTCGAGGAACAATCAGTTGCATGCATATGAGCTCTCGGAGGGACAGGCACGCGGACCTCCAAGAGTTTCTGTCGAGGCAGGTTGTTCGCTCCTCTAACTGCACGATGAGAGAACTTCCATCGACGAAGCCTCGATGCGTGAGCATCTTCCTGCCCTGAGCCCCCTTCTCCTCCCCCTGCTCCTCCTCCTCCTCCTCCTCCTCCTCCTCCTCCTCGTCCTCGTCCTCGTCCTGGTCCTCCTCCTCCTCCTCCTCCTCCTCCTCCTCCTCCTCCTCCCTTCTCCCTCGGGGCCCCACCTCAGAACCGCCGCGAGAGGACGCGCACGCCACGAAGTGCTTCCTGAGGGCCACGCAGGCGCAGCTCGGCGGCGACGGCTGGCACTACATGGGGCTCCGCCCAACGGAGGCCCTCGGAGGAGAACAATCTAAGCGATCCTCTTCATCCTCCTCCCCCTCCTCCTGCTCCTGCTCCTCCTCCTCCTCCCCTCCTCCCCTCCTCCCCCTCCTCCCTCCTCCTCCTCCTCCTCCTCCTCCTCCTCCTCCTCCTCCTCCTCCTCCTCCTCCTCCTCCTCCCCCTCCTCCCCCTCCCCCTCCTCCTCCGGCTCCTCCTCCTCCTCCCCCTTCTCCTCCTCCCTCCTCCTCCTCCTCCTCCTCCTCCTCCTCCTCCTCCTCCTCCTCCCTCCTCCTCCCCCTCCTCCCCCTCCTCCTCCTCCCCCTCCTCCTCCTCCTCCTCGTCCTCCTCCTCCTCCTCCTCCCTCCTCCTCCTCCTCCTCCTCCTCCTCCTCCTCCTCCTCCTCCTCCTCCTCCTCCTCCTCCTCCTCCCCCCCCAAGAACCGCTCTGGCTCGGGCGCGGGACCCGCCCGCCTTCGTGCCAGCACCGAGCGTCCGCGACGCGTTCTTGGTGACGGGGGAGTCGCCGCGGCAGCCCGCCGAGTCTCTCCCCGACTAATTCGGTGCGAACCATGGGGCGCAGCAAGCCTGCTGCGCGATCTCCCGCCCCGCGCAGCGCGAGGGCAGGAAGAGGAGGCAGCCCCCAGCAGAGGAAGGTGGCATTCATCGATGACTGGACCCGCTGCCTCACCTGCAAGAAGTGGATGTGGAATGAATCCTGGGGCGATGCGCATTGGACGTGCAGCTGTGGCGCGCAGGTCGAGCCCTTTCGCCGCCGTGAGGCCAGCCGCCTGCCATATCCCAGGCCGGCGCGGCAGTCGCGGGGTGGGGTTGGCCAGTGCCCCTGGCATCAGGGCAGCGGCAACAGCATCGAGACGGGCTCCAACGGCTCGGACTTCTCGTCCTTCCTGGCGCTGCTGGCCGACGAGAAGGCCAGCACCTCCCCGCAGGCCGACGAGGTGAAGGCGGCCATCAAGCTGGTCCAGCAGCTGGCGGAGCCGCCGGCGCCTGCGACTCCAGCTGAGGCGGAGAAGCCCCTCGACGAGGTCTTCCGCAAGGCGTCGGGTCTCCACAAGGAAGCAGCCCGCCGCCACCAAGGTTCGGTCGATGCGGTGCTTCGCCTCGAGGAGCAGCTGCGAGCTGCTCGCGTCAAGGAGGGTGAGCTCGCGCTCCTCCTTGCGGAGGCCGACCGTGCTAAGGCTGTCGCAGCGGCGGTCATGGCCCGTCACGCAGCTGAGGTGGCGAGGGCGACGGGCGTCCTCGGATGTCTCGGACGAGCTCTTTCACCTCTCCTGGGACCCTGACGTGTTCACCAACATGGAGGGCCTCTCGCCCGCGGAGCAGGGCGAGCTGCAGAATCTGGAGAAGTCCCTCGTAGCCACCAAAGTTGAGCTGGCCGCCAAGGCCAAGCAGGTACGCTGGCCGCCAAGGCCAAGGCCAAGGCTCATCTTGTCCAGAGCAGCGCTGGTCCGCTCGCGTTGCAGCAGGAAGCGCCGCACTGGCTCCCCTTCGGCGCTACGTGAAGAGGGAGGTGGCGTTGAGGATGAGGAGATGGTCGACGTCGGCAGCGATCGCAGTCCGCAGCCTGGCGGCGACGGAGGTGGCGCCGAGCTGGCGGCGGCGGCCAAGGTGATCAGTGCCGCCAAGTTCGCAGCCTCGCGTGCAGCACGTGCAGCAGCTGCAGCTGGCGCGACCGCTTCAGCGGGCCCCCCCGTGCCCCCGCCGAGTGCAGCGAGCCAGGAGGCAGGAGGCGCCCCCCCCCCAGCGGGAGGCGGCCCCGCCTCCCCGTCGGCTGCGGGGGCCCCTGCCCCCCCTGCCGTGGCCTGACGGGCAGCCGCGGGCCGGGCATGCTTGACGCGGGCCCCTGGGAGCCCGACCCGCGGAGTCGCAGGCCTGGACGCCTCCTCCACGTCCGCCGCTCCAGGTGATGAGGAGGCGCTGCAGGCTGAGGGGATTGAGGTTGCAGCTGGGGCTGCTGACCTCGAGTTTTGTGAAAGCGGCGGCCATCGATTATTCTTTTCGAATGTCACGGAGATGGGGCCGCAGGCTTGGGGTTACGTGGAGGAGTCGCTGAACCGCTTCAGTTCGTTCAGTTTCGTCGAGACCCACGTGCGCGCTGGCCACTTCGAGAAGTGGCGACGAGAAGCTAAGAAGCTTGATCTGGAGATCATGGCCAACCACGCGCGGCCCTCCAGGCGCGGCATGCTGGAGGGCACTGGTGTCGTCGGCGGCATCGAGGGAGGAGAGTGGTTGATGTGTCGGCGCGGTCACCACTTGCACACGCTGGAGGGTAGCGGTGATCGGGCGCTGGCCGCCCCTGGTGCTGAGTCCGCCGACGGCTTCCAAGCTAGCGTGCTCCACCTTAAGGGCAACAGGCAGGTTGTCGTGGTCACCTTCTACGGCGTGAGCGGGGTCGGCTGGTGCGGCAGCAACCTGCGGCGCTTTGGCAAGCTCGGGGCCCTGCTCCGCGCCGTCAAGGCGCCTTGGCTAGTCATTGGCGACTTCAACCTGCCGCACCAGACCTTGCAGCAGGCTGGTTTCTTACGCCGCATTGGCGCGCAGGTGGTGATGGCGGACGTGACGACCACCTGCGACGCGGGCCAGCACGGTTCTCACATCGACTACGGCCTGTGTTATGCTGCCTGCGCCCCGCTGTTGGCAGGCATCTGGGCCACCGCCGCAGTCCCATGGAAGACGCAGCGCGGTCTTGTTGTGCAGTTTCTATCCAGTCAAGCTGCCCTTCTGGGTCGGCAGCTGGCGATGGCGAAGGGCCTGCCTCAAGTGGCGAAGCGGCCGCGTGCCGAAGCCCACCGCGGCCGCCGCGCCAAGCAGAGAGGAGATGATGAAAGGCGTGCCCTCGCCAGGCAGAAAGAGCTGGAGCTTCATTCCCAGCTCTTCGGTGATCATTGTCCGAATCGCACCTTTGATAAGTTGTCCACCTGCTCAGGCTCCGAGGGCGACGACAGCAGCGATGAGGACTCGGAGGTTGGTTGGGAGCCCCCGCAGCAGCGGCGGGCACTTCCCCGCAGGCAGCAGCTCGGTTTGACGACAGCGAGGTAGACCCGTTCGAGCGCCTCGATGCCGAGCTCGACGCGGACCAGGTGCAGGAGGCCAGTGACGTGCAGGCAGCCGCTGGAGATGCGCCGCCTGGTTCAGCCGAGGGCGATGGCCCCGCCGCTTCCGCAGCGCCAGCGGCCGCGGGCCCCCAGGGAGTCTCGCGAGGGCTGGCCGCGGCCCCCTCATCCAGGGCGGGTCCCGCGCCCAGCCAAGAGGCCAGGGCGAGCCTGCCTAGTTTCGCTATCGACGACGAGACGTGGCACAGCACCGCGGCTGCGCCCAGGTCCGTCGTGGAGTCTCTGAAGTGCAGTGCGGCTGAGTCAGCCGCCTTTCTTGTTGGTGGCGCCCTGTTACCTCAGATCAGCATCCAGCACGGGAAGTGGGCTGAGCACGTGGAGAGGGCCATCCACACACATCACGGATGCAGTACTTTTGGGCGCATGTCGCGCAGCTCAGAGGCGCGGCTGATCGAGTGCAAGTGCACGCCGAGTGTGACGACCAGGCTCGAGCCCATTCGCGGGGCGGCAGTGCGCTGGTGGTCCTCGGTGGCAGCACTACTCTCTAGGATCGGCAAGCTTCGACGGCGCAGCAAGCAGGCCACAGATGATCGGCGGTTTCTTGCAGAGGCTGGGCGGGAGCTGCGAGATCGCGCCCCCGCCAAAGCCCGCCGATGCTTTTTGGCGGGCCGTGCTGGCGCGCGCCGAGGAGCTCGTCCCCAGCGGCAGCAGCAGCGGCAACCTCCGTCGCGGCCAGCTCAGCAGCAGAATCCGACTCGCCCCCCTCCGCCCGCGCCCCTCAGCGGGCGACGCTCACCAGGTGACGGCGGCGGGCCCGTGCCGTCTCCTGGAGGCGAGGGGCAGGGCGAGCTGAGGAGCTCCAGGGCGTTGGTTGCGAGCTTGGGTGACGCGCGCGCCATCTCGGACAGCAGCCTGGCGGCCTTCGAGGAAGCGGCCTTGGCAGCGGCAGCGCGTGCCAGGCAGCCGGCGGTCCACAAGTCCCTGCGGCAGCTTCGGCAGTGGATCGGCATGGTCGAGGCCACACCGTTGGTCTTCCGCTCCCTGCGGGAGCGGCATCTGGCAGCAGACGAGGTCCTGGTTGGCAGCAGCATCCTGGTGCACCCCAGCGCGATCCTCGACCACAAGGCGGCTTCTTGGGAGAAGCTGTGGGCGCCTCATCCCGTCAGGCGCGAAGAGGTTTGTGAGCTGTTCGAGGACCTCCGCGAGCAGGTGCAGTACGAGGAGCTGGACCGCATTACGGTTGCCGACATTCGCTGCGCCCTCCAGCGCATGCGACCCCAGACTGGCAAGGGCGTGGACCAGTTCACGGTGCTGGACTTGGCGAGGTTGCCCGACCCTGCGCTGCAGGAATTGGCCGACATCTTCTCTTCTGCTGAGCGGGCCGCCTGCTGGCCCAAGCAGCTCCTCTTGGTGCTGGGTCACGCTCTCGAGAAGAAGGGTGGCGGTGAGCGCATCATCGGAGTTCTGAGCATGGTCACGCGCTGCTGGAGCATGATCCGCGATGAGAGCATGCGTGATTGGGCGAGGCGCACGGCCCCAGCCTGTGACGCTGCCGTCGCGGGCAACTCAGCGCTTCGCGAAGCCTTTGCTCGAGCGGTGAGCGAGGAGGCCTTCGCCGCCATGGGTGTCTCGCACGGCCACGGCCTGGTCGACGTTCAGAAGTTCTACGACAGCATGCCATGGACGGGGCTCGCTCAGGCGGCGCTCCGGTGCGGGTTTCCGCCCGCTGTACTGGCATTGGAATTGCAGCAGTGTATGGCGAGCAGGGTACTCTTGCAGGATGGCATGGCATCTCGGTTCGTTGTTCCGTCTCAGTCGGTGGTGCAGGGCGTCAGGTCGGGCACGAGGTTTGGGCGCTGCATGACGTACCACGCGCTGCAGCAGGAAGGAGAGTGGCGCGGGCCTGGATCCCGATCCACAGTCGTCTTCGAGAGGCAGAGCC